ATGATTCTATGATTCTATGATTCTATTTCACCCTACGTACCAGGCAGCTACAAGAGGAAAGCATACACAGCAATCATTTCTACAGAACTGCTACATGGTGCCTTGCCCCTAGTTTCCCTAAGAGCACGTACACTGCCAGATGCATACGCTGCGCAGATCTGTTTCCTGTTAGTTGGAATCAGCTGACATATGAAGAGCTATCATGATATGAAGGTTCGCCAAGCCTCATATTTTGTCTCTGATGCCGGCAAGTGTTGGATGTTTAAAAAAAGTATGAGCAATAGGAGTGACATGTTGGTTCATATTTACATCCACCAAAATCTGCAACCGAAGGACTTCGATAATTAAAATTACATCTTAGTCTTTGAGTTCAAACACCCTTTGACATTCATTCTGCAGTGAATTTCTCTTACCTCTTTTTTGAACACGCTTATTCTGTAGTAACGAGTTCGACAGTTTAATCATGTGCAACGTGAAAATACTTTTGTTTGTTTTAAACTTGATGCTCAGTAACTTTATGGCTGCACCTATTGCTTATGTTATTACTTACGTTATAAGTAACAGTGAAAAATTGCTGTTTACTCCACACTATGCAAGACTTTATATGCTGCAAGAAAGGGTGCAAGAAGCTCTGTAACAGGAGGAGAATTTTCCCCTAAGCATCTATCAAAAGATAGTCGGTAATTAGTGTATGCCCTGAAGCACTCACTAAATTAATTTCATTTAATTCATCAAACTTTCCAAATGTTCTATGAATCTTTCCATTTGCCTTAGTAATATTTTGTGGCTTTGCGTTCCAGAGACTAATTGTTCTGCAGAAAATATCATACCCTCAGTACAAATACTTGGGATAAATTCTGCTCTCCAATAAAAACAGACAGTCCCCAGAGACTGAAGAAAAATTATGTGCTTATATCCGAGGGGAAAATTTGATTCAATACCATTAGAAAAAATATTTATATAGAGCAGATTACACTTTCCCTTTCTATTAACAGCAAATTAAGATGAATCAGATTTATAATACTAAGTAGAGACTTCCATAACTGTTTCCAAATTAAATTAGATTGTGTTGTGAAATAGATACCACATGCTATTTATTTTTATTGATTTAGAGAGTGTTGATTACCATAGCAACGAGGAAGACACCAGCACAATTTAAAAAACATACTGTAACAAAGGCTAAAGCAACCCTATTGCTTTTTGCTAAAGTAGCAGCAAGAACAACACTATTTTAAAGGTTTCCCATAAATTAAAAACCAGACAGGAACTGAAATGAATGAGAATTTTCTTACTTTCAGGTTGGAAATTTCTTAGACTTCAGTTCTACTAAACTGCAAATGCAAAACTTGCAGACCAAGAATCTGGGCCATACACAGCGATAAAAATGAGTCAGCAAAAGTCTTCCAGGCTTTTTAAACAGCTGATTTTAAGTATGTGGGAGCAACAGCTGATACCATCTCTGATGCTAATATCCAGAGAGAGTCACAACGCTATCAAATATTGTGATACTATGAAGCCTTTTGGACAAGTGCCTAGCGGGGTTTGGGAGGCGATGCATGCAAAGCATTTACCTGCTTCGTAGCCACTGATCCCCAGTAGCCCAGGGCCCATTTGCTAGACTGCACCTCGACTCACGAGCGAAATGAAATGGTGCTGACGATGCTGGGATTCCCGCCAGGTGCTAAACCGCCCGTCCTGGGAGAATCCCCAGTCTGCCCTGGGATACAGTGTATTATTGATGCTGCGCACGCAGGTCCCGTGCTGGGATGAGGGAAGGGCACTGCTTGCAGAGCCTACAGTAATAGCATCTCTCAACTGCGCCAAGCGAGAAAAGACAAGGAGTCCAGATCATGCAGGCAGCGCAAAGCAAGGCAGAGGACCAGTATCATAAACAATGCGGGACTATCAGGGTTTAATAATTTTGGTATCTAGTAGATACACTCAGAATCAGGATATTGCTGCGATACTGGCACACCATCCACCCCGAATACAGCCCAATGCCTTGAATGGAAACTGCACCCATGGAGTTGAATCAAGGTTTTTTCCCACCATTTGATTACAGTTAGATAATACGTTAGGTAATAGTTGGTATTAGCTAATATATTTAAATCTCTCTTTTCAGTGAAGTATTGTACATTTTCTGTAGCAATAAGAACAAAGGGAAAAGCTATGACAGTCTCATGGGTACAGCATGATTAGATTACATGCTCCCCACTAGAAAGGAACGGTCTTAATTACTTCCTCCCATTGTGTATCAGAAAGAAACATCTTTACATGTGAAGAAATGACTTGTTGGGAGTCACATGATAAGAAGAATAGCTTGCACATTCAAGAATAAGCACTATCAGTGATAGTCAAAAGAAACAAGAGGCATTCTCAGATGACAAAGATAACCAAGATCTCTATACAACTGAAATGGAGATCCGATCTTACTTTGCTTACAACCGTTGCAAGTTCTCTCATCTCTCCAGTCATGCCAATAAAAGCACTAAGGGGTTTCAATAATCGTTCCTAAAAAAGACAAACATAAGTTCTTGTCAGACTTTAATTATTTTTAAACAGCGAACTATGAAATAGTTTCAAAAAAGCTGATACATCATAATAGTAACAACTTTTAAAGCTGTAAAAATATGGATAATAATAAAGATATTGAAGTAAGCCATATTTGTAGTAACTCATCTTTTCATCTGACAGAATCGAATCCTGAATTAACATTAAAATGAGCAGGTCTCTTTTTGCACATGTAGCCCTAAACACGCCCTACATAGATTAAGAGGAGTGAAAAATGTAACTACGGCTCACCGCATTGTCACATTCTCTGTTTTGAAAGTCTCTTCAAGTGCAGCAGTTGCCAGACAGACTAGCACCACGTAAGTTGGATGCACTGTCTGAGAAGCTACAGCTCATGTCAAGGAGTGACTACTGAAAATTTCTCTCGACCATCTAAACCCTGTTCTTGTCTCAGCTGAGGTGAACGCTAAATAACGTTCTGAATTCAAAGGAACCAGAATTTCGCCCTCAGAAGTTCTGTGGGTTTCTGCATTTTTTTTTTGTGAATCATAAGGTATCATTTGTATTTGTTGCCTACTTTCATGTTCAGAAAGTAAACAACTGTCAACAAATTAGACCAGTATCAAGTATGACTGTCCATTCAAGAAGGAAATACACCACTCAGAAATCTAAGCCCTTTTTTAGCACTTGGGAACAAAGACATCGTTGCGGTATTTTATTTTCTTCCTGGTTATGTAAAACTGATGTTCATATTCATTGGATGGAAGTATGAACAGAAACACTTACTGATGGATCTGGATCACAATTAAGGCTGTTCAAGGCTATTCCATTTGATGATACTTTGACAGCATCCTGAACTGTCCCATGGAAGTCAATTACTTGGCCCTAAAAGAGAAAATAATGTTGTGATAGGCTTTACCATGATGGTAGCTCTACTGTTAAAACTGCATTGGGCCAAATTTTGCTTGCTGTTACAGTAAGGAGTTCCCTTACTGCACATACAGTCCTAAACATGGCAAAAACTGACCACAGAATCTGTGGTAGCAATGGGAAAAGAACGCACATCTCCTCAGTCAGTGCCACAATTTAACCGCAGAGCCTCTTATCATCTCCTTCAGGAATTTAAAATTTATCTTCAATTTTAGCTATTACCACTGGGTTTTAAAAACAGAAATATTTTTCCTTCTTGACCATGTCTGAAATACTATTTAATGCAAGCAGAGCCTCCTACGCAAACAATTACTGCCCAAATAATAAAATTGACCCTTCAGCTAATTATACAGCAACATTTTATATAAAAATAGACACAAAAGGCTCACATTTGGTATTTGAAAAACTTTCACATGTTTTTTCTACATACACATTTCTATCATAAATCACATACTAGGTTTCCACCAACCCTTCTTGGGTGAATGCTGTCTCCTCCAGTTTTGTTGATTGCTGAGATGCTTAAGCCAAAGTCAGATTGCTCCAGAGTAACTGCACTGTCATTATTCTAAAGAAAAATCAATTTTAAAACAGATGCGTTGCCAAGTAGATGAATGGCAGATATCATTCCGTTATAGGTATCATCCCACCTCTTCCTACATGCCCAGATGAGCCGTATCATTACATGGAAGTTGCAACAGTAATCCTCTATTTGTCAGACAAACACCGTTGTGCATTTAGACTTCATCTGACCGGTGACAACAGTGGTGAAAGCCACGGCTCTAGAGCTCAGCACTCAAGTTATTTCATACACAGAGCTTCCATTTTAAGTTGCAGAAATCTGCATTTTACATAGCTATGAGAAGAAACGCTTATGAACAGTGTTGAACGACAGGCAAGTATAATGCACAGCAGGTCAACTCAGAAATGAGGAGCCATTTTAGGATTATAGGTTACTTTGACATTCACTTCACAGCAGTTATAGCTGTAAAATCCAAAAGCTAATTTTTTTTTAAAGGGTGAGAACTTCTCCGAGATGAGCTCCTCCCTATGCAGGAAGATAGACAAGGACTTAAAAAAAAAAAAAAAAAAAG